CAAATTTATTTGGGATAATGACCACCCCCCTACAAATTTATTTGGGATAATGACCGATCCCCTGCAAATTTATTTGGGATAATGACCAATCCCCTGCAAATTTATTTGGGATAATGACCACCCCCCTACAAATTTATTTGGGATAATGACCAATCCCCTTCAAATTTATTTGGGATAATGACCACCCCCCTACAAATTTATTTGGGATAATGACCGATCCCCTGCAAATTTATTTGGGATAATGACCAATCCCCTGCAAATTTATTTGGGATAATGACCATCCCCCTACAAATTTATTTGGGATAATGACCGATCCCCTTCAAATTTATTTCAGATAATGACCACTCCCAACGACAGTAATAGCAGTAACCTCACATATGTTATCAAGGATAATGTCTGTTCCCTCAAAAATGTCCTCATGTAATAAATTATCCTCTCCACTACAACAATAATCACCCCCCTACAAATGTATTTTGGATGATGACTGATCCACTGCAAATTTATTTGGGATAAGACCGATCCCCTGCAAAAAATTTGGGATAATGACCAATCCCCTGCAAATTTATTTGGGATAATGACCACCCCCCTACAAATTTATTTGGGATAATGACCGATCCCCTGCAAATTTATTTCGGATAATGACCACTCCCAACGACAGTAATAGCAGTTACCTCACATATGTTATCAAGGATAATGTCTGTTCCCTCAAAAATGTCCTCATGTAATAAATTATCCTCTCCACTACAACAATAATCAGATCAAGAATATGGGATAATGACTACTCACCCTTAAGTGTCTATGGGATAGTGACTACTCACTCTCAAGTGTATATGGGATAATGATTACTCACCCACAAGTGTATATGGAATAATGACTACTCACCCACAAGTGTATATGGGATAATGACTACTCACCCACAAGTGTATATGGAATAGTGACTACTCACCCTTAAGTGTATACGGGATAATGACTACTCACCCACAAGTGTATATGGAATAGTGACTACTCACCCTTAAGTGTAAGTGTATATGGAATAGTGACTACTCAACCACATATGGAATAATGACTACTCACCCTCAAGTGTATATGGGATAATGACTACTCACCCACAAGTGTCTCTGGGATAGTGACTACTCACCCACAAGTGTATATGGGATAATGACTACTCACCCACAAGTGTATATGGAATAGTGACTACTCACTCTCAAGTGTATATGGGATAATGACTACTCACCCTCAAGTGTCTATGGGATAGTGACTACTCACTCTCAAGTGTCTATGGGATAGTGACTACTTAATTACCTACAAGTGTATATGGGACTACTCACCCACAAGTGTATATGGAATAATGACTACTCACCCACAAGAGTATATGGAATAATGACTACTCGCCCACAAGTGTATATGGAATAATGACTACTCACCCACAAGTGTATATGGAATAGTGACTACTCAACCACAAGTGTATATGGAATAGTGACTACTCACCCACAAATGTATATGGAATAATGACTATTCACCCACAAGTGTATATGGAATAGTGACTACTCACCCACAAGTGTATATGGAATAGTGACTAATCACCCACAAGTGTATATGGAATAGTGACTACTCACCCACAAGTGTATATGGAATAGTGACTAATCACCCACAAGTGTATATGGGATAATGACTACTCACCCACAAGTGTATATGGAATATGGGATAATTACTACTCAATAACAAGTGTATAAGGAATAATGTACTCTGAGATAATATGGAATAATGAACACTCCCCTACAAAGGTACTCGGAGCTAATATGGAATAATGAACACTCCCCTACAATGTACTCAGAGATATGGAATTATGAACACTCCCCTACAAATGTACTCTGAGATAATATGGAATAATGAAAACTCCCTTACAATGTACTCAGAGATATGGAATAATGAACACTCCCCTACAATGTATGCAGAGATATGGAATAATGAACACTCCCCTACAAATGTATCGAGGGATAACAATGGGGATAACAATCAGACCATACTCATAGACTCCCCCCCCC